GAGACGCCACTGCACATGCTCCATGCCCTGCCTCGCCCCTGGATCATGGGCCCCACCAGGGCTGTGTAGCTCAGAAAGTCTGAAGTCCCAATTTTGTGCACAGGTATGTATTTTTTTACAAAGAAGAAACCAGTTTCCCCTGCCTCATTCTCTCCTACTCTGTGAAATTAAATAGTTTGTTGAAAGCTTTTCTCCCTAGTGAGTTAGTAGAAAAAAAAAAAATGTCCTCTACATATTCAAATATGTTTGAGAGTTTCAATCCTTGGTTATGCAGCATTTTGCAGACTTTTTTTTTTTTTTTTTCCCATTTATGACATTAAGAATCTAGTTTTGCTTAAAACTAGATTTGGTGAACTCTAGGGATAAAAAATTAAGTTTTACAGATTTTCCCTTCTGTATTTACAGATAAATCCCAGCGAATTACCTTCAGCACCACCAGTGACAGTGGCACACAGGAAGCAGATGCAAATAAGGGTTTTAGGATGTGATCATCCGGTATCCAAAAAGCATGCCACTATTTGCCATGCTTAGTCGCCCAGACACAGATTTGGGAAGGCATTTCATCAGCACCGTCACTAAGTAGCTCTCTTAGATGGTTATTTTCCCCAGCTCTGTGTGTCTAATTCTCTGGACAATGCGTCTATGTGGCCAAATATGAGAGCAGACTGTCTTTCTTATACATAGTCGTATGCCAGGCAGCCCAGAAGTTTCAACTCCAAACACAGTTGAGACACTGAATTTGCTGGTATTCTGTGACATCTAGATCAGTCAGAAAGATAAGCAACCTGCTCCAAATGGTAATGGGAACCTACACAAAAGAAATCAGAGAGTAGTAACTTTGTTTCCAGAAGGAAGATGTTTATCTCACACACACACACACACACACACACACACACACACACACACACACACACACACACAATCACATCAGAAAAGCACAAAGCAGGCATTCTCCTGTGATTTTTTTTTTCTCTAGCTAGCTAAATGACTTAGCAGCCAGCAAAAGGTCTTGCAAATCTAATGAATGATATTTGGACCTCTTTAAGGTGATTCAACATCTCTAGAGATTGCCTGAATAAATGGACACCCACAATGGCATTTCCTTCTGAATTTTTCAAAATTGAATATTTAACAGTGAGGAAATTAAGGTATTCAGTTCTCAAGGAAGTTATTGAATCTTTCCACAAATTTTTGGGATAGAGATTAAGATCTCTGATATAAAGCTACTTTTGTATTTGTATGTGTGTGTGTTGTGTGTGTGTGTGTGGTGTTTCTGAAGAAAAAAAAATCTTTAGCTTCATGGAACTTATTTTCTAGTTGGTTAGACAAACAAATGTGTATAACTTACAGTATGACTAATAATGATATGTAATATGGAGACAAATTAAATGAGACAGGGTGATAGATCATGCTGGGAGGGAGGGAGTCATGATGCTAAATAAGGTAGCAGGGAAGATTTCAGTGAGGTTGGAACACGTGAGTAAAGACCCGAAGGAGTCAAGCCCTGAGTGTGGAACAGCAAGTGCAAACGCTCTGACACGTGACTGTACCAGGAGTGGTTGAGGAGCAGCAAAGAGGCCATCATGGTTAAACGGAGCAAACAAAATAAACAAAGATGCTTCACGAAAGACCACATTGCAAAAACGTTGGCTTTTACTCTGAGTAAAATGAGAAGGCACTGGAAGATTTAGAGTGAATTTGGGTGGAAGGTTCTCTGCTGAAATCATCTACTTACGTTTTAAAAGACTCGCTTTGGCTATTGTGCTAATGACAGAATGGACTGGGAAGAAATGAGGACTAGCAGACACAGAGGGGAAGGAGGAGACCAGTTATGGGGTCTCACATTTGCTGATGTGCTGATGTGGAACCTGAATGAAACAGAGGAGTTGAGGTTGACTCCAAAGGTTGTTTTGGTCTGGATTATTAGAAAGATGAGGCTTTTCATTTACTGAAAGTGAGAAAACTGGGAGGAACAGGTTTTTAGGGGAAAAGAAGAGGGTCAGATTAGAACGTGTTACGTTTAAGATGTCAAGTTGAGAAAGCCAAGTGTTGATGTCAAGTAGGTAGTTAGACATAGGAGTCCAGAGTTCAGAAAAAAGTCACCTTTATTGGACGTCTAAATTTGGAAACTGGAAAATCCAGTAAAAATCTCAATGAGTTCAATAAATGATAGAGAAAAGAATTCTAAGGTTGGAGTACTATGGCGATCCAATATTTGGAGGTGAGGGAGATTAAAAGGAAATATCAGAATAGCCTGAGAAGTGGCTAGTGAGATTGAAAGCAAACAGGTGAGTGTGGTGCCCAGAAGCAAGAGAAAAAATCATGTCAAAGAAGATGGAGTGATCGCTGTGTCAAATGCTGATAGGCCCAGAAAACTATGGTATAATGACTCAGATTTAACAACATGGGGACATTACGATGTATACTCCCCTCCCCAAAAATGTCAGTGGAAGGAGAGGGCAACTGCCCTATTTTCCTACTTTATGTAGTCAAATTTATTTATTTAGAAACATGTTTTGTTTTGTTTTTTTTCCAGCTAGTCATTAATTAAGCTCAGGATCATATTTTAGCAATTTCAGGGCAATTGCTTCTTACATTCCACTCCTTCCCTGTGATTCTGTTTTCTTCCGACTAAAGTAGATTCCAGCAAGGATTTGAGTAATAAACTCAGTTTATAGGTCATACATCAGCTTCCCTCTTGAATTCTCGTTTAGCTAAATGTAAATTTGTGGGTGATAGCTTTCCTCCCTCAGCACCTGGAAAACATGACTCCATGGCCCATTGTCATTCCTCATGAAGGCTACTGTCGTTAAATGTTACTCCTCTGTAGGTAATTCAGCTTATTTCTTTATCTTGGAGTTCTGTGGTTTTATTATAATGCATATAAGTGTGGCTCTACTTTTCTTTTTTAATTTATTAATTCTGTTCAGTACATCATGTGTTCTTTCAACGTGAGACTTTGTTTCATTTTGTTGTCTTCCAATTCTGGAAAGTCTTCAGCCAACTTCCCTGAAAATAATACTTCCCTGACAATCAGTTAATTCTTTCTTTGTGATGAAAATCTCATTAGACACATGGAGCCTTTCAGTATTACTGCCGTACTTGTCTCCTTTATGTTTCATCTTTTTATCTTTTTTTTTGCCGAATTCTGGGGCCAGTCCTCTGGCACTATCACTCTTTGGGATTTCTTTGGGAAGATATTATTCTATCTGAATCTTTTTAATGGCTATGTGTTTTCGTTTCTACATTTCTACCTTTCTGTTTCATATTTGCCTATATTTGCGTATACAGTTTCTTGTTCTCTTATATGAATAAAATAAATGTTCTCTTATAGTCTTTCCTTTATTACATCGTTTACCTTAAACATATGCTTATTAAACTAATTTCAGATGATTCTGTTTAGATGACTTGCATCGATTTGGTCAGGGGTGTATTCATCTCTTGATTGTTGAGTTGGCTCTTCATTTTTTAGTGTTAATTTGGATTTTTTTTTTTTTTGCTTTCAGGCAACACACTGAGTGGGAGGTATATTTCTCACTCTACCACAACTCTTTGTAATACAGTGCTTTTCACCTGTCTCCACCGGTCCCAGAGACTCTGAGTCCCATAGTAGCTTTTTGGCCAGCATCTCAGGATTCCCTCCCATCCAGCAGTAGTCTGGAGATGTCCCTGACTCAGGCACTGAACCTGTGGGGCTGCCTGGCCTAGGTAATGGTTGAATGGCTTTCTCTGCATCCTCTCCCTCCTGCCGCTAAAGCTGCATTGAATGGTACAGTTTCTTCAGCATCATTTCATGAGTAATGGAACCACAACTCCTGATTTTACGCAGGCAGCCTGGAATCAGGCCTCCCCCTGCTCACAGTGGAGCATTTCATACCCAACTGGAGTACAAAACCCTTGCACTTTTCTCTTTCTATCTGAATTACAAAATGACTGTGGCTTTAGCCCAATTTACTGACCGTTGTGGTTTTCTGGTCTGTTTCCGATCTAAAGAGATACTTACCTTATTTTCAAGAATACAGTATCTTTGTAAAAATATCTATCATTGTATTTAGAACTAAAAATGAAATTTTTAAAGTATGATCTCATAAGCCAAAATAACCTGAAATACTTTATATTTTTAATATGTATTGCTCTGAGTCACATATCTGGTCATACATGTATATGATTTACGTACATTGCGTATTTACAAAAATAATCATTCAGTAGAATTTACTCCTTTATCAAAGATATATTTTTTCAAAAATATGATATTTTTCTACTAAAATAAAACTTTATTTTTTGTCCTCAACTAAATCCTAGATCAGGGTCGTGCTTATAAATAGGAAGCAACCCATTTGGCCTGATTCGTAAGGTCACAAGTAGGGCATCCTATACTCCAATTTTTTCTTATCTGCCATGATATATAAATCCCACCAAAGAAATTCTCCTGGATTGGATGACTTTTTATTTTTTCACAATTCTCTACTAAATAAAAATAAGTTTGGGCAGTAAAGGAAAAGGAGGGCACTGCCTTTGCAAAAAGGTTACCTAACAGAGAATAAGGCATTTTGCCAATATTTTTGAGATTAGGCCCCTGAAGCATGAGCCGGAAATACCAAAATGGAGATTGAGTGTTTTAGAAGGAGCTGAGAGCCCTAAAAACAAACTTGATCTTCCTCACAACGTTATTTAGTTACAATGATTTATAAAGCTCAATTAAACTGACTGTAAACATCAGCGGAGAAACGAGAAATACCCCCTATAATCATTTAATGATGTTCATACAGAGAAGCAGGTGTAATCATTCTTGGGTAAAGAAGGAAGTTAAAAGTTTTCAAAGCTTATCATATTGACCTTACCAACTGATTTTGATTATGTGGTAATATTGTTACTATAATTTTGTCTAGCAGATAATGATAGAAGTTGGTCCCCAAAGTTTTTAGGATATTCTCCTAAATGCGCAGGCAACTTATCTTTATTGTAATTTTTCATACCTTATCTTTTCTGTCTTTTTTCAGCCAATCGGGTACTACAGTAGCTGACATGCGAAAAAGGCAGCAGTCACAGAATGAAGGAACACCTGCTGTGTCTCAAGCACCTGGAAGCCAGAGGCCCAACAACACATGTTGCTTTTGTTGGTGCTGTTGCTGCAGCTGCTCTTGGTACGTGTCCTGTTATCTGTGTGACACCGCCCCTGAGCTACATAATAACTCGTGTGAACGTGCATGTAGGTTCTTGGGATCGTACAAACTTCTCAATCTGTCTTTTTTTTTTTTCTTTACATGTAGGAATTATTGGAGACCATTATTGGCTTAAGGAAATCATTTCTATCTGCAAAGTATATTTCCTCATAATCTGACTTGAAATTGATAGTCACGAATGAAAAATTATTTTATACCATGTTTTCCTTCATCCATGCAACTTAAAGATATGGGTAAAAGTTAGATTATGGTTCTATATTTATTAAACATGAACGATATGCTCCAGTGTTACCGAAGGTGAAAGAACATGAACATAGTAGTACCATATGCAGTATGCAGTGTTGTGTTTCGTTATATGGTGTTTCATCAGGTGTTGGTCATCCAGTCGCAGGGTCAGAAAACTATGAGTCAGGGGCAGCCTCAGTCAGAGATCCCGACAAAGACAGAAAAAGAAGGGCCAGACTCATGTCAGCAGATGTAATGGCCAGGGGTTGTGATGGGTATGAAGGCCAACTTGGTTAATTAAAAACTCTGAATTTAAAGCCAGAGGATCTGCTCTCCCTTGCGATTTCATCACTCACAGCCTCTGCGACATCAAAGTTGTGATCTGTTTTTTGGCTTCCTCATTGGCAAAATGATGAAGAGTTAAAATTAATTCCTAAGGTCTTGTCCATGATTCAGGCACTTCGGAAAACCTGCTCCAGTTTCAAATTCCCAAAATGCCCTCAAATAAGAAAATCAGTAAGACCCAGAGTCCTCACATATATGCAGATGAGATTCCTCAGGGGGATGCTAGACTGAATGGAACTTTCCACAGAACCATGTTTCAGGGTCCTTTAAAACCCAGTTCGCAAGTGGATCTTCTGGATTAGCGGTGGTCTTCTGGATCTCCACGAACCATTTTAAAACCCTAAAGAAAGGCCCAAGTGCTTGACTCAGCTTCCCATATATGATCCCTGCAATTTCCCAGCATCCATAAAGGTTATCGTTCTGATATGGTGGCTTGATGTCCTATCATTGTGGCCAAAGCAGAAAATGAAATGTGTCATACTACAGTGGTGGCCTTGGTGTTCAACAAGCTCTGACCCTTCTAGAAAACTTCATTCCCAGAAAACATCGGATATTGTAGTAATTTAGAAGGCTTAAAGCGGTGTTTATAACTATCACAATTGCTTCCCTCATGATGATTCTTTGTTAGGGAATGTCGACTATATTTGATCCTTTTCTTTCATTCTTAAGTCGTAACTCTTTCAGACGGAGGTAATAGAGTTCTAAGGGGAGAATATATTTTAATAAAATTAAGTAATTTTTTTTTCTCTATCGCTCCTAAGGAAATCATCAAAATTTTGTCTTAATTCATGAAATATAGTGTAGCAACTTAATATGGTGATTCTAAAGTCAGACTTCCTGGGTTCAAATCTTGTCCTCATCCATCACTGTCTGTGTGACCTTCAGCAAGTTACTTAATGTCCTCAGATTCCTCATCTGTCAAATGACAGTAATAAGAATCCCTACCTCATACAGTTGTTGTGAACATTAGTTGAAACAAAACATAGATGAGCTGAAAAACACTGCCTGGACATAGTATGCGTTTTAATAAGAGCTCACTGGGCTAGGGAACACTTCATACTGGAAAAATAAAATCTCTTTAAAGAGGAGCTGGCTTGAAATAATGTTTATTTAAAAAAAATCAGCTCGTGGATATAATATAAAATATGTTGGAAAGGAAAGCCATTTTATTTAAATTCTGTATAAAATATCACAAATACATTGTTACGCAGTACTGAGAATTATACTTCTGTTTCTCATTTGTACTGTGCCATGTTCCAGTAATCAGTATATGATTTTATTTACCCACCAAGATTTATTTTTGAATTGCTTCAGGATTAAAATGCCGTAATAGATAGAGTACTGAAGTTTTGTTGCAGTGTACTTCTTTGCTATCAAACATATTTAGCAAGAACGTGTTTTTATTAATTCGTAAAGTGCACATTAAAAAACAAAATATTCAGCATGAACTCATGAGCATCAGATTGTCACAGAACACAGACTGTGGATCTAGCACAGCTTTGGGAAGTTGCGTTAACTTTCCACACCTTTAGGGTGATGTGTATTTGGACCCCACATATGTGGTGCTTGGATGAGTGTTCTCTTAGTTCTAGACTAGATTATCATTGTCGAGATCTGTGTTAGCAGCAGTGAGTCATGGGTGCCTGGGTCTAAGCCATAAAATGCATGATCTGTACATTTACACGTCTTCTATATATGGTAAATGAGAGGTAATTTCAAATGTAAACAGCCTGACGGAAACAATGAAAGTTAACTGTCCTGAACGAAGGCTATTAATTGTGACTATGTTATCTCATTGTAAATGAAAATGTCCTTTACACAAGCATTTTTAAAATATCATTACTTTTGTATTTTTGAGTTTAGGGGAAAAAAAAAAAACTTGTAAAGGCTTATTAGAGTAGAAAAAAAAGAAGAAAGAAATGTTTTTCAAATTTGCCAGGCGAGGTCAAAGGAGCAGAACAAAAAGAAACACTAAAAAAATGTAATTTAGAGGGGAAAAAAAAGTTAGAAATCAAAATATGAAGTAACTGTCATTTTGTAAATAGGAGAAGTTGTCACGTAGCTGATTTTACCTCCTTTTAAGGAAACAGAGTGCTAGGAAAATAAATTTCTCTATCTAGTGATAAATATAAATGCCTCACAGGTTATGGGTTTTTTTAACAATACAGTGCTTCCCTCAAATTTGCATTTCTCATTCATATTCCATCATCAGCTCCTCTCCTATTTTTAAATTTATCTTTATAAAATTATCACTATGCTTTCTTTTGGTGGGATGATACAGAAAGTAAATACATAACCGCTGAATATTTCCACAATTTCCTTCATAAATCAAAAAGTTTGGGCTTACTTCACGACATGCAACAACATGGATGGACCTTCATATTTCATGCTAAGCAGAATAAGTCAGACGGAAGAAGTTAAGGACTATATTATTTCACTCATACGTGGGATATAAAACTGAAAGCAACAAAAACAAAAAACTCACAGACATAGACAACAGTATGGTGGTTATTATTTATTAACCAATGTCACTCCAATAATTTTAGTGAAATTTTAAAAAAGGAAAATTTTTTTTTAAAGGAATGACTAATTAGGCTGATCTCTTCTCTGTCCCTGTCAAGGAACCAACCACTTCCTTCCTCAGATCCGTCTCTCTCTGACTCCCCTATATCCCCACAGCCCTCCATTGCAAGAAGAGAAAACAAGGGAGTTTAGACCATTTAACCTGTGTTATATAAATGAGTCACAGAAGTCCGAGTCTTGGCCATAAAATGAATAGTCTATACTTTTGCACGTTCTTTACGTAGGAAGAAGCAGTTCCCCACCCGGAGGAGAGACAGCCATGTCAAGACTGCTAGTCTGAAGGTTCAAGGTTGCCATGCTCAAAACTTAATGTTCCTCTTGTATCGGGATTCAAGCAGAATGACCCGACTCTTCAGAGAGTTAACTCTCTTTCTTCTTCTATATGAGAAGAAAACCTTTGAAAGATGTGTGGGCTCCTCACAAAACTGCCATCACTGGGACAGTATGAATCAGTGAGGTCATTCAGACATTTGCATGTGAGATGGCGTGTGTGAAAGTGTGTCGCAAATTAGAAACTGTTGTGTGCTCACAAAAGCGAGGTGCCTCAGAAAGGAGGTAGAAAGGTGGAGCTATCAAAAGTTATTTCGAGCTCGAAGCTAATTTCCAAATATTCTTACGATCCCCATCTTAAGATCAGAGGTTATATTAAAATAACCCGGGCTATTTTTTTTTCAGATAAACTCTTTAAGTGCTAATCCATCCCTGTTTTAATTCCTCATTGCTCCTGGTGGTGTCCTATAAAGCAAGACAGATTTCCATGTTTAGTCATAAAAAATTAGAACTCATGAGACTTCAGCTACCATCTCTCTAAATGTTCCCACTGGCTTCTCCTGCTGCTTTGTGGTTGGGGGGGCGGGGATGATTCTGGGGGACGAGGGAGCAAGTTTTGCTGGCCATAGCCCTGGGCTTCCTACTTTCTATTTCTAAGGGAGTGGTTCTGTGCTTAGCTATTTTACATAGTAGACCTAGGTACAAGCTTTTGTTTGGAAGAAAAAATGGCCTCACTAAAAAACTAATGTTTGGAAAACGCTGTGTCCGATTTTACAGATAAGGAAACTGAAGGCTTGCCTACTGTCACTAAGCTCATTTGTGGTAGAAGTGGGACTAACATGCAACTCCCTTAATATCCAGTCCATTGCTTTATCCGCTTTGAGATGACACTTCCGAGCTTTCCATTTCCAGATTTGATGGGAACCCTTTCCAAAGTTTCTCACTTTGCAAACTCATGCACTAGTGCGTACTGCCTACAAGATTTGGCCCGCATCGAATAGCCTTCATTCTTCTCAGGAGAAATCGGTCACAGCGAATTTAGTAAATTATCCCTGTGAAAGCTAAAATTGTCTCCCTTTTGAACGCATTGGTTCCCAGAGTTCCCAGACCATGGGACAGATCTAAGTAAATGTTAAGCACTTCATAAACATGCTTTTGGTTGCCTTTCCCTCCATTTTTAAGAGTTACCACAGCCTCTATAATTCAAAAGTGCAAAAATAATGTCCTATTTTATCCTCTGACGCTGTCACATTTTAGCCCTCTGCCAATGGAAATACTAAGATGCATGCTTTAAAAGCCAGAGGATATTTTTTGAAAGGAAAAACAAATCCATGTCTGCTCCATGGTAAAGAAAGCACCCCTGGAAATAAATCTGCTCACACAGGCGAGGTGGGCCATTTCATCTGAGGCACCAGTGAGCAGAGCCTCCTCTGTACCTAGATTTGATTCATCTTACGTGGGAACGTTAGTTAGCTGCACAGAACTTCCAAAGTACTAGTAACCAGATCGTCATAAATATCACTTACAAAGAATTCTAC